CATTTGATTTTGTTGTATTTCCGTTCACATACACCCCATTGCCGTGTTGAAATTTAGTCTGCCAAAATCTCACAAGAATCCACATTAATTCGACCCTTTTTTTTTTCCCCCAAAGCAGCCTGGCAAAGCTTGTGAGAGCATGCCAAAAATAACAATAATTAAAAAATAAAGAACATTGACCAACTTCGTTAACATCCAACTGGGATCTTCCAGGCCAGGAAATGAGTGGAGACCTTTGAACTGACAAATTCATGCCTTATCTTTTCTTTCCTGTTAACAAACTGTCTTGCTCGTCTTTTAAACATAAACCCCTGAGAACAACAAACAATGATTAGGCAGTGCCAGGAAAAGCTGGACAGGGGATCCTGAATTTCAAGGAAATCCTTTGAGAAGGATGGAGATGACCACCCAGGTCGCCTTGAGAAATTGGAAAGAGACTTTGAAGGAGAGAGAACAATAAGAGAGAGAGAGAGAGAGAGAGAGAGAGAGAGGAGGGAATGAGAGAGAATGAGAAAGACAGAAGGATAGTGAAAGAGAGAAGGAGAGGAAGAGGGAAGGAGAGAATAAAAGAATGAGAGAGAAAAACAGAATGAGAGAGGAGAGAGGGAAGGAGAGAATGAGAAAGTCAGAGAAGGAGAGAGAGTGAGAGAAAGAATGAGAAAAAGACAGAGAGAATGAGAAAGACAGAAGGATAGTGAAAGAGAGAAGGAGAGAAAGAGGGAAGGAGAGAATAAAATAATGAGAGAAAGACAGAATGAGAAAGGAGAGAGAATGAGAAAGACAGAGAGTAAGAGAAAGAGAAAGACAGAATGAGAAAGACAAAGGAGAGAAAGTGAAAGAGAAGGAGAGAGAATAAAAAAGAATGAGAGAGAAAGACAGAATGAGAGAGAGGAGAGAGGGAAGGAGAGAGAATGAAAGACAGAAGGAGAGAGAGTGAGAAGGAGAGAAAGTGAAAGAGAAGGAAAGAAATAGAGGGAAGGAGAGGGAATAAAAGACAGAATGGGAGAGAAAGAGAATGAGAGAGAGGATAGGAGAGAATGAAAGAGAAAGACAGAGGAAAGAAAGAGGGAAGGAGAGAATGAGAGAAAGACAGAGAAAGACAGAAGAGAGAAGGAAGAAGAAAGAAAGAGGGAACGAGAGGAGAGAGAGAATAGAGAGAGAGGGAAGGAGAAAGAGAAAGAGAGAGAGAATGAGAGAGGGAGGGAGGGAGGGAGAGAAAGAGAGGTGGTGATTATGGGAAGAGAGGAAAAATACACATAAATTGCCACACAAGTCGTTCACCTTTGGACTGGACTTCCCGCCCAGGGCTTGGACAAGCGGCCGTGGAGAAAACATTGCCTGGAAGTGGTGACAGATAATTCTCGACTTACAACAGTTCATTTAGGGACCGTTCCAAGTTACAACGGCACTGAAAAAAGCGACTTATGACCGTTTTCCACACATACGATCATTGCAGCCTTCACCGTGGACACGTGATCAAAATTCAGACGCTTGGCAACTGACTCCTATTTGTGACGGTCGCACAAGCGTCCCCCGGGGGGTCACGCGATCCCCTTTCGCGACCGTCTGATGAGCCGAGTCCATGGGGGAAGCCGCCTTCCCTTAACACCCCTGTTTCTCACTTAACCACTGCAGGGATTCACTTAACAACCGCAGGGGAAAAGGTCGTAAAACGGGGCGAATCTCACTTAAACACTGTCTCACTTAGCAACAGAAATTTTGGTCTTGGTTCTAGTCCTAAAGTGGAGGACCTTCTGCATTCCTTTAGGCCGCATAATTTATTAATTCTGAATTTTAATCGATGGGCACCAAAGTCTGCTTGACTCTGGGAGACATACAAAACTAGAGGAAAGATCAAAACATGACAATAAAAAGCAGTGTTGTATAAGTCATGCTTAATTTTTACAAATTCTTGGGAGGGGCTCCATTGCGGTCATAACATGAGGACTACATTTGACCTCGAAAAAAACTGTCCGTTTCTTTCAGCGAGTTCTCTGCAGCAACTGTAAAAAGATCCATCTACAGGCAGTCCTCGACTTAATGACCACAAACGATCCCCAAATTTCGAGACATTTGGACATGAGTTTTGCCCCATTTTACAACATTTCTTCCCCACCGTTGTTAAATGAATCGCTGCAGTTTTATGTTAGTAACCTGGCCAAGCACTGACTTTGCTTGGCAGAGGGTCGCCCAAGGGGAGGATCACGTGACCCAACCAGGATGTTGCGACCGTCATAAATATGAGTCTGTTGCCAAGCATGTGGATTTGGATCACGTGACCACAGAGAATGCTGCAATGGTGGGATTCAGCCGGTTCGCACCCGTTCGGCAGAACCGGTAGCTAAATTTTGCTGAGTTCGGAGAACCGGCTGAATGCACACCGCTTCCGGAAGTCCGTTCTAGGCCTCGGAGGCCAGAAGGAGGCTTCCCACACCTAGAATGGCCCACTGGAAGTGCGTGGATGCCACTTCCGGAAGTCCGATCTAGGCCTTGGAGGCCAAGAGGAGGCCTCCCAGGCCTAGAACGGCTCACTGGAAGTGCATGGATGTCACTTCCGGAAGTCCGTTCTAGGCCTCAGAGGCCTGGAGGAGGCCTCCCAGGCATAGAATGGCCCCCTGGAAGTGCGTGGATGCCACTTCCAGAAGTCCGATCTAGGCCTCGGAGGCCTGGAGGAGGGCTCCCAGGCCTAGAAAGGCCCACCGGAAGTGTGTGGATGCCACTTTCAGATGTCTATTCTAGGCCTCAGAGGCCTGGAGGACGCCTCCCAGGCCTAGAATGGCCCACCAGAAGTGCGTGAATGGCACTTCCGGAAGTCCGTTCTAGGCCTCGGAGGCCAGAAGGAGGCTTCCCACACCTAGAATGGCCCGCTGGAAGTGCGTGGATGCCACTTCCGGAAGTCCGATCTAGGCCTTGGAGGCCAAGAGGAGGCCTCCCAGGCCTAGAACGGCTCACTGGAAGTGCATGGATGCCACTTCCGGAAGTCTGTTCTAGGCCTCGGAGGCCAGGAGGACGTCTCCCAGACCTAGAATGGCCCACCGGAAGTGCGTGGATGCCACTTCTGGAAGTCTGATCTAAGCCTCGGAGGCCTGGAGAAGGCCTCCCAGGCCTAGAATGGGCCACCGGAAGGGCATGGATGCCACTTTCAGAAGTCCGTTCTAGGCCTCAGAGGCCCAGGCCTGCATCCAATAAGGGAACCAGTTGTACGGTTGTATTTGAATCCCACCACTGGTCGTAAGTGGGAAAAACGGTCATAAGTCACTTTTTTCAGGGCTGTTGTCACTTGGGACGGTCACTAAATCAGCTGTTGTAACTTGAGGACCAGCTTTATTGAATTACAGGCCCCAAATGATCTTTGCATCTGCTCTCTCAGCACATAGACAGATCGATATGAGACCTTTAATTTATTCACTGAATTCATCTATTTTCATGCCTTCTCACTGCATGCTAAAACAGCCTAATAATACCTTGTTCGTCATTTGCCAGAATTCCTATGATTCATTGTTTGAAGGAGACAAATCATGGCTACCAAACAGCAAGGAAAAAAAAGGTTAATAAAATCTCAGGGGCATTTTGCAGGATGGTCTGAAGCTTTGCTTCAAAGAGAGAAACAACCTGGAATTAAGGAGAAACTTCCTGACAGTGAGAACGATTAACCAGTGGAACAGCTTGCCACCAGAAGTGGTGGGTGCTCTAACACTGGAGGTTTTTAAGAAGAAACTGGACAGACATTTGTCTGAGATGGTATAGGTTCTCCTGTTTGAGCAGGGGGTTGGGCTAGATGACCTTCAAGGTCCTTTCCAGCTTCTATTCTATTCTATTCCTATATTCCATTTCATTCTATTTCTATATTCTATTCTATTCTATTCTATTCTATTCTATTCTATTCCTATATTCCATTTCATTCTATTTCTATATTCTATTCTATTCTATTCTATTCTATTCTATTCCTATATTCCATTTCATTCTATTTCTATATTCTATTCTATTCTATTCCTATATTCTATTCTATTCCTTTCTATTCTATTCTATTCTATTCTATTCCTATATTCCATTTCATTCTATTTCTATATTCTATTCTATCCTATTCTATTCTATTCCTGTTCTGTTCTATTCTATAATATTCCTTATTCTATTCTATTCTATTCTATTCCTATATTCTATTCTATTCCCTTTTCTATTCTATTCTATTCTATTCTATTCTATTCTATTCTATTCTATTCTTATATTCCATTTCATTCTATTCTATTCTATTCTATTCTATTCTATTCTATTCTATTCTATTCTATTCCTGTTCTGTTCCGTTCTATTCTATTCCTTTTTCTATTCTATTCTATTCTATTCTATTCTATTCTATTCCTATATTCCATTTCATTCTATTTTTATATTCTATTCTATTCTATTCCTATATTCCATTTCATTCTATTTCTATATTCTATTCTATTCTATTCCTATATTCTATTCTATTCCTTTCTATTCTATTCTATTCTATTCTATTCTATTCTATTCCTATATTCCATTTCATTCTATTTCTATATTCTATTCTATCCTATTCTATTCTATTCCTGTTCTGTTCTATTCTATAATATTCCTTATTCTATTCTATTCTATTCTATTCTATTCTATTCTATTCTATTCTATTCCTGTTCTGTTCTATTCTATTCTATTCTATTCCCTTTTCTATTCTATTCTATTCTATTCTATTCTATTCTATTCTATTCTATTCTATTCCTATATTCCATTTCATTCTATTCTATTCTATTCTATTCTATTCTATTCCTGTTCTAGTTCCGTTCTATTCTATTCCTTTTTCTATTCTATTCTATTCTATTCTATTCTATTCTATTCTATTCTATTCTATTCTGTATTTGCTATTCTGTTCTTTTCTATTCTGTTCTAAGATGTTCTACAAGCCAAGATGGATCCCAAAGAAAAGGGTGAGATGAGGGTGATAAAGGAGCTGTTTTCAGAAGTAACCCTCTTCCCTCTGTTTCCCTTTCCAGTTGCAGACTGCAAAGTCCCCCGGGAAATCTCGCACGGCTTCGTCGCCTTCTCCACCCCACAGAACCTGACCACGTACCAGTCGGAGATCCGGTATTTCTGCCAAGAGCCATTCTACCAAATGGTGCCCAATGTCACAGGTACGCCTCTACCTGGGGGCCTCTGGAGAACACCTTGCTCGTATGTCCCCAACCCTCTTTATCATGCGGATGCATTCAGACAACCCATCCGATTTTGTCTAGCGCTAGCCTATACCCTGCGAGGTCTTTCATGGCTTGGCCTGTTGAGTTAGCCCAGCCCTTTGGGTTGGCTTCTGGTTGTAGTTGTTATACAAACCCCCCAAAACAGGATTAGGTGAAGATCCAGGTTAAGGGTGTTTTGTGAATGCAAGCGCGGTCACAGAACAGGGCCAAGATATAGAGGGCCGGACCGAGGAAGAATGTCTGATCCAAGATGGTCCATCCTCGGTGTCGGGAAAACAATTTGGGGTTCCAGCTGGAGCCGGGGTTGCGCTAGAACAGTGGTTCTCAACCTGTGGGTCGGGACCCCATATGGGGTCGAACGACCATATCACGGGGGTCGCCAAACAAAGCTGTCCACCATTTTTTCCCCCTTTTCTTTGGCCACGTCCCTGGCACCTGGTGATGTATAAGTGGTTGGGGGTCACCACAACATGGGGAACTGTATTATGGGGTCGCGGCATTAGAAAGGTTGAGAACCACTGCGCTAGAATGAATAAAAATGAGATCCAGACCGCTGCGAGGAAAAAAGAAATATTTATTCCTAAAAGCAAAACCGTTGCCTTTAGAGGCAGCTACAGAGAAATGGGGTATAGCAGTAGTGTTTTATAAAGGGAGCTAGTCCAGGGCGTGGAAGTGTCTGCGTGCTGATTCTAGGATGACGAGGGGCATGTGTATGTGCACGTATATGTGTAGGTGTGTTGATTCTTGTGAACATGCAGTTCCTCTGGGAGACCTAATTTAATTAACTCCGCTTGTGTTTGTAGACCTTCTCCTTTGATATGTGGATTAGGTCCAAGTCACTTATGGGGGGGAGGGTTGAAGCAATTTGCTCATTTTAGTTGATTAACTTAGTTTCGGCTTGATGGCCAATTATCTAGCGGAGACACTGATTCTCAGTCCCTTGTGGATCCCATTAATATTTTAAAGCAGTGGTTCTCAACCTGTGGGTTGGGACCCCATTTGGGGTCGAACGACCATTTCACGGGGGTCGCCAAACAAGGCTGTCCGCCATTTTTTCCCCCTTTTCTTTGGCCATGCCCCTGGCACCCGATGATGTATAAGTGGTTGAGGGTCACCACAACATGGGGAACTGTATTATGGGGTCGCGGCATTAGAAAGGTTGAGAACCACTGTTTTAAAGGAAGGTGGAAACGGTCTAAAGAATAAAATATATTGGGATATATATTTTATCTACGCAATTCTGTAAGGAGAGGTGTCGGCCTTGGACGTCACCCCCATAACCAGTTTTCCATGTTTTGCTTTTCGGCAGGGATCTTCACCTGCGACGCGAAAGGCGTTTGGAGAAGCAGTGAGCTGGGGAGCCGTTTGCCTTCCTGCCAGCCAGGTACCCCAATTGCTCTCAGCACATACACACACACACGCACACACGCACGCACGCACACAGAGCACTGCCTCCTTTCTTTCAGGCCAAAATTGTGACCGTCTCCTGCAAAGCTTCCTGCATCCGCAACCATCAGCGAGGTCAAAATAGACATCTTGAGGGTGGTGCCATCGGTTTTCAGACGAGACAAGCCAGCTATTAACTGGGTTTTCTTCCCGGAGAGGACAAGGCAGAGCTGAGGGGGTGGCAAGCTGGCTACTAACTGGGTTTTCTTGCTGGGGAGACCGAAAGCGTGGCGTTGTCAGACGGAAGCTGCAAAACTAAACTTTGACACGACCTGTTTTAGCTGCTGCCTTCACACGACGTGTTCAGTTGGGACGCATGGTTCCGTTCATCGCACTGGAGCTTGTAGTAGAGACTTAGCATTGCCCACTGAAATTGCTGCAACCTGTTGTAGGCTTTGGACTTTGCTTTCGCAGGACCAAATTCACAGGGTTTGCCCTGGTTTGAAGCACCAAGGAGTTCTCCAACATGTGCAAAGTGGGTGTGCAAAGGGAAGCGACGTGTTGGTGTTCGATTTATCCTGGCTGCGGCCTTCATTAGTACAGCTGTGCGTTTGTGTTATTTTTTCCATCACAATTCAGCCTGGATGGTGTCACCCCGTTTTTGTGCCACGGAAGAACTGACCTGCTGGCGAATCCAGCAACTGCAGAATCACAGATTTGGAAGGGACCTTTGAGATCTTCTAGTCCAACCCCTTGCTCATGCAGGAGATCCCCCCCCTAGACCATTTCAATCAATCAATCAGAATAAGAGCTGAAAGGGACCTTGGAGATCTTCTAGTCCAACCCCCTGCTCAAGCAGGAGACTTGATGCCATTCTGGATAAACGGTGGTCCAATTTCTTCTTTAAAACCTCCAGTGTTGGAGCACTTGCCACAACTTCTGGTGGCAAGCTGTTCCACTGGTTAATTGTCCCCAATCTTGGGAAGTTTCTCCTGAATTCCAGGTTGTTTTCTCTCCTTGATTAGTTTCCATCCGTGGTTTCTTGTCCTGCCTTCAGGTGCTTTGGAGAAGAGGTGGACCCCCCCCCTTCTTTATGGCAGCCCTTCAAATACTGGAACGCTGCTATCATGTCACCCCTGGTCCTTCTTTTCATTAAAATAGACTGACCCAATTCCTGCCACTGTTCTTCATATTTTAACCTTGGTAATCCTGGGGAGCCGAACCGAAAGTGGTGGGCAAGCGACACCTCTACAGCTTTACTTGTTCTGTTGTGTTGCCAGTGATCCTCAGTCAGCTCCAAAGAGCGAGCAGGGTGTTGTCCTAGCTAGACAGACCGATGTTGCTGTTTCCCCACCGTAGGCATGTGCAGCCATGCGCCCTCACATCCCACCAAGGTATTTGAGATCCGCAAATAAGCAATGATGGATCCTGCCACGTGCAAGGTCTCCATCATTGCTGGTAGATCATGCCATGGGCAAAAATCTTTGGATGAAATGGAAATTTGTAGATTTCACTCTTAAGATCCATGCCAGTGAACAGACCCCACAAGGATTTATTGATATAGGGCAGGGATCTGTCTGTCTGTCTGTCTGTCTGTCTGTCTGTCTGTCTCTCTCTCTATCATCTATATTTATCATCTTTCTATCATCTATATCTATATCTATCTGTCATCTATCTATCATCTACCTATCTCTATATCTATCTATCATCTACCTATCTCTATATCTATCTATCATCTATCTGTCTATCATCTATTTCCATCTATCTATTTATCTCTATATCTATCTCTGTCTATTTGTCTATATCTATCTATGTATATCATCTATCTATCTCTATTTATTATCTGTCTATCGTCTATCTCTATATGTATCCATCCATGTATCTATCTATCTCTATCTATTTATCATTGATCTATCTCTATATCTGTCATCTATCTATCTGTCTATCTATATTTATCATCTATCTATATTTATCATCTATTTATCTATATCTATATCTATCTATCATCTATCTATTTATCATCTATCATCTTTCTATCTCTATTTAACATCTATCATATCTATCATCTATCTTATATTATCTATCTATCTATCTATCACCTTTCATCTATATCTATCTATCACAGTGGTTCTCAACCTGTGGGTCGGGACCCATTTGGGGTCGAACAAACAATGCAGTCCGCCATTTTTCCCCCCTTTTCCTTAGCTGTGCTACTCCCTTTTATTCCATTGGCTTTTGAAAGCCAATAGAATAGACCCTCTTGAATAGAGTCTACTTCTATTGGCTTTCAAAAGCCAATAGGAATTGTCGAGGCTGTGTCTGCCCTGCTGAGCCCGCCAAAAGTCCCATTCTGCAAACGGTGCTGCACCAGTTGAGTAGTCCTTGACTTACAACCGGTTGAGTAGTCCTCGACTTACGACCGGTTGGGGGTCGCGGCATTAAAAAGGTTGAGAACCACTGATCTATCATCTATCTATCTCTATATCCATGTATCTATCTATCTATCTATCTATCTATCTATCTATCTATCTATCTATCCATCTATCTATCTATCTATATTTTATAAATAAAGGGTGCACTTCAAAAGTAGAAGCAGACATTTTCCCATGGATGATCAAAAACCTCCAGATGGCATCTATGATGGTATGATCAAATCTGGATGCTTTTAACCCCCTCCCCCTTGTGGACATCTCCAAGGAGAAATGAAGATCACAACTGATGTGCGTGAAAATTTAAAAAAAAAAAAAAAACTTGGCATGGATTTTAAGAGAGTGTTAATCAGAACAAACCAAACAATTGCAGAGGATTTTATCCCGGGGGGAAAATAATCGCATGTTTGAAAAATAATTTATTCCACAGCTTCTTTTTTTTTGTAATCCTAAACTTCCTTCCCTTTGCTATTTAAATGCGCTTGGTTGATGTGGACAAATCTGTCATGTAATTGAGGTTTAAAAGCGGGGCGAGATATCAAAAGAAAATGAAATGCAAGCTTTCTTAATTTTACATCGTTCCCGCCAATTTTGCGTTTCCGTGGCTGGCTATTGTCAATCCAGGGGCCTCCCCCAATGAAATTAAAAGCAGAGCAGTTTCCAAAGAATTACTGTCCAATACAGGAAGTCCTCGCCTTACAACTATTTGTTTAGTGACCGTTCCAAGTTACAACGGCACTCCAAAAAAAGGGACTTAGGACCGTGTTTCACACTTACGACCGTTGCAGCATCCCCACGGTCATGCGATCAAAATTTGGATCTTTGGCAACTGGCATGTACTTGTGACAGTTGCAGCGTTCTGGGTCCCAAGAAGCAAAATCAATGGGGGGGGATCCAGATTCGTTTAATGACTGCACGATTCGGTGAATCGCTGTGGTGAGTCACTTAATAATTGTGGTCCAAAAAAATGGGGCAAAACCCGCTTAGCAACCGCCTCGCTTAGCCCCACAAATTCTGGGACTCACTCGTGGTCGTAAGTTGAGGATTACCTGTACTGACGTTGTAGGATATCGGACTGCGGAGGATAGATGGGCAAAATTGGCATAATCTACCACCACAACTGACAACCTTTTTCTGAATTGTTTCGGAAGTGTCCCAGGCTAATTGTGTGTCGTGTCGTTTCCTTCCTTAGTGTGTGGACAGCCCAGCCGCCCTCTGCCTAGCCTGGTCAAGCGGATAATCGGCGGGAGAAACGCAGAACCTGGATTTTTTCCCTGGCAAGCCCTGATCGTGGTGGAGGACACCTCCCGGATACCCAACAACCGGTGGTTCGGCAGCGGAGCCCTCCTCTCCGAATCCTGGGTCTTGACCGCTGCCCACGTCCTCTGCTCCCAGCGACGGGACAACACCGTGACAGCGGTCTCCAAAGAACACGTCAATGTCTACCTGGGCCTTCACGACGTCCGGAATAAAATTGACGCGGTCAACCGGACGGTGGAGGAGATCATCGTCCACGAGTCTTTCAACATCCAGAATTACAACCACGACATCGCTTTGGTCAAGCTGAAGGAGAAGGTGACCATGGGACCTTACATTATGCCGGTGTGTCTACCCCAGGAGCAACATGAATTGGGAGGACCGCAACCCAACACGTTGGGCTTGGTGGCCGGTTGGGGTATCTCCAATCCGAACATCACCGTGGATGAAGTGATCAGTTCCGAGATGCAGACCTTGTCCGATATTCTTCAGTACGTGAAACTTCCTGTGGTCCTTCACGCCGAATGCAAGACAAGTTATGAGTCCAGATCTGGCAACTACAGCGTGACGGAGAATATGTTCTGCGCCGGTTATTACGAAGGAGGGAAGGACACCTGCTTAGGAGACAGCGGTGCTGCGTTTGTCATCCGAGACTTGGACAACCGGAGGTGGGTGGCCCAAGGTTTGGTCTCCTGGGGTGGACCAGAAGAATGTGGCAGTGAGCAAGTCTACGGGGTTTACACCAAGGTGTCCAATTATGTGGACTGGCTGCAGGAGAAAACAGGGTGGACATTCCTGGATTCCAGTCTGGAGAAGAGATGAACTAGAAGACGAAGCTGAGATCCAATCCCAAGGACTGAATTTGTGTTTGAAGAACGTCAACCAAGCTCAGCCACGTTCCGAGTTCTTTGAGGGCATTATGGATGGGGGAAAGAAAGATCTGGAGATGTTTTCTCCTCCTGCTACTTTGGTTGAAGGAGCTTTGCGTCGAATTCCAGACACTCCACCTGCGACATTGCGTTCCTGAGAAGAAGCAACGTTCCCACTTTACTACCAGGCAAACTCCAGAACGTATAGTTGGCACTGATTGAATGAAATCCACGGAATCGTTTACCATTTTCTTCCCAGCTTTTTGGGGTGGGCAGCGGGGCAGTTTAAGGTTGCGCTGAATGTTGTCATTTTTGTAAAAAGAAGGACGATTTAAGATTGTGTTGGGCTCACTAAGACAACGTTTTTCGATTTTGAAGATGCGTGGACTTCAATTCCCAGAATTCTCCACGCTGGCTGGACAATTCAGAGAGTTGGTCCAATTTCAAAATTCGGGAGGCTGAGAAAGACTTTTGGTGGGACGTTTGCTCTCTCTAGTGGCCATTTCTGGAATAGGAATCTGGTCCTTTGAAAGTTGAAAGACATTTGAGCCTCTGTCAATCATTTGTACCCCCAAATCTAAATTTTTCCAGGTGAAGGAGAGCCTCCCTGGAGAAATGCAGGAATCCCAAATTCAGCGAGACACTCCAAACATTTGAGTGCTTTTATCATTGTTGTTGCGTTCAGCCTCTTGCTTATCCAAATCAGTCTTTTGAGTCCAAATTATTATTTTTTCTTTAGCTAAGCATCATTTCTCATTCTTCCCTACCGCATCCCCCCCCCAAAAAGAAAGAATTGTAGAAAATATTGGGGCAGACAGAAATATTTCTTCCAATGGAGAAATTCTATTTCTCTTTTCTTCCAAAGAGCGATAACTTTGCTCAGCCATTTAAAGAAGATTCCGTTGCCGTACAAGAAAGAGAGAGCAATATGCAAGTAATCCTCAACTTATGGAAATTCGTTTAGCGACCATTCAGAGTTACGACAGCACTGGGGAAAAAAGTGACTTAGGACTGTTTTTTCACACTTACGACCGTTGTGGCATCCTCCCAGGGTCCCGTGATCAAAATTCGGATGCTTGGCAACTGACTGCTATTTATGACGGTTGCAGCATTCCCAGGTCACGGGATCCCATTTGGCGACTTGCTGATAAGCAAACTCAATGAGGGAAGAGCCAAATTCACTTAACAACCGTGTTATTCACTTAACAACTGCTGTGATCCACTTAACAGCTGTGGCAAGAAAGATTATAAACGGGGAAACAATTCACTTCATAACTAATAATGACAATAATAAAGTTGGAAGGGACCTTGGAGGTCATCTAGTCCAACGCCCTGCTCAGGCAGGAAACCCTATACCATTTCAGACAAATGGCTGTCCAGTCTCTTCTTAGAAACTTCCAGTGTTGGAGCATTCACAACTTCTGGTGGCAAGCTGTTCCACTGGTTAATTGTTCCCACTGTCAAGGAAATTTCTCCTTAGTTCTAGGTTGCTTCTCTCCTTGATGAGTTTCCATCTGTTGCTTCTTGTCCTGCCTTCAGGCGCTTTGGAGGATAGCTTGACTCCCTCTTCTTTGGGGCAGCCCCTGAGAGATTGGAAGGCTGCTATCATGTCCCCCCTCGTCCTTCTCTTCGTTAAACTAGACATTCCCAATTCCAGCAGCCGTTCCTTGTATGTTTTAGCTTCCAGTCCCCTAATCATCTTTGTTGCTCTTCTCTGTACTCTTTCCAGAGTCTCAACATCTTTTTTACATCGTGGTGACCAAAACTGGATGCTGTATTCCAAGTGTGGCCTTATCAAGGCCTTGTAAAGTGGTATTTAACACTTCACGTGATCCTGATTCACTCCCTCTGTTAATGCAACCTAGCACTGTGTTGGCCTTTTTGGCAGCTGCAGCCCATGGCTGGCTCACTGTTTCACTTAGCAACGGAAATATTCAGTTCCATTGTGGTCATAAATTGAGGACTACCTGAATTTCTTCTTTAGGTTTGTAGTACTTTGTTCGAACAGCTGTTTTAATTCTGCGTGATGGATTATTTAATCCGTCTTTTTTTTCCCTTTTGCACTACCTACGTATTCAGAGGCATTCATGAAAGAGGGTCAAAAAAACGAAGCTGGAGATCTGACATCAAAAAAGTTTGGGGCTTTTAATGCACAGCGACAACTGCCACCTTGTCTTTTTTTCACACACACACACACACACACACACGCACACACACACAAACACACACACAGTGGTGGGATTCAGCCAGTTCCCACCACTTCGGCAGAACTGGTAGCTAATTTTTTTGCTGCCCAGGCCCAGAATGGACTTCCGGAAGTGGCATCCATGCAGAGAACCGGTTGTTCACCTATTTGAACCCCACCACTGCGTGCACACACACACACACACACACACACACACACACACCTACAAATAGTCCCTGACGTATGACAGTTCATTTAGTGAGCGTTCCAAGTTACGATGGCACCCCAAAAAATGTGACTTAGGACCGCTTTTGATACAACGGCTGTAGCATCCACTATGGTCACATGATCAAACCTCAGATGCCTGGCGACTGACTCATATTTACGACGGTCGTAGCCTCCCGGGGGGTCATGTGATCCTCTTTTGCGAACTTCTGGCAAGCCAAGTCAACGGGGGAAGCCCGAATCACTTCACAATTGTGTTACTAACCTAACACGGGCAGTGATTTCCTTAAAGTGGGACTAAATTCACTTAAGGTCTGTTTTACTGAGCAACAGGAATTGTGTGGGCTCCATCATAAATTGAGGATTCCCTTGTTATGTATAATAAATCCCCCTGCTTGGTATTCCTGTACTCTTCCCAAGGTTGTGTGGCTGTACGGCACCCTTAGCAAATTGGAACCCCACCCGGGATGGATGCATAAACAATTTCTCAATAAAACGCACAGTTGTTTGTCTCTATTTAATAATCATTTTATATGCTCAGCATTTTCTCTTTGGTGAGCAGCCATCCATGAGAAACGACAGCTGTCCATCTTTGATAGAAATATTATATTATAAGATGCGTTTAGGTGTGGTACTCTGATCTCTCTTACATATTTAAGAGATACTACGCCCTTTATTATGGGTTTTATACTCCGTTTTGTAGGATCCCTAATCTTTTGTATTGATAACTTTTGAGAAAATGAATAAAGCTATTTACACAACAATCGTTGTGACATCGCCTCTACATTCTTAAATCTATTCAAATTTCCTCTAACAATAGCAGCTGAGATAATGATGATGATGATGATGATGATGATGATAATAATAATAATAATAATAATAGTAATAATAATAATAAAGTTGGAAGGTACCTTGGAGGTCATCTATTCCAACCCCCTGCTCAGGCAGGAAACCTTATACCATTTCAGACAAATGGCTGTCCAGTCTCTTCTTAAAAACTTCCAGTGTTGGAGCATTCAGCGCTTCTGGAGGCAGGTTGTTCCACTGGTTAATTGTTCTAATTGCCAGGAAATTCCTCCTTAGTTCCAGGTCTCTTTGATTAGATAATAATAATAATAATAATAATAATAATAATAATAGTAGTAGTAGTAGTATTGCAGTAATAATAGTAATAGTAAATAAGTAATAATAGTAATAGTAGTAGTAGTAGTATTGCAATAATAATAGTAATAATAATAATAATAATAATAATAATAAAAAGTTGGAAGAGACCTTGGAGGTCATCTAGTCCAACCCCCTATATCATTTCATGATGATTACATCTGTACTACAGGTAATTCTTGACTTCTAGTTCGTTTAGCAACCATTCAAAGTTACAACAGCACAAAAACAGTGGTTTACAACTGGTCCTCACACTTGTGACCATCGCAGCATTCTCGATAGTCAGGTGATCAAAATGTGTGTGGTCAGCAATGGCTGTGTATTTACGACGGTGGCAGCGTCCCGGGATCACGTGATCTCCGTTTGTCACTTTCCCAGCCAGCTTCCGACATGCAAAATCCACGGGGGGAAGCTGGATTCGCTTAATGACTGTATGATTCATTTAACAACCTCAATGATTCGCTTAGCAATCGTAGCACGAAAGGTCAGAAAAATCAAGCGCGATTTATTTCACAACCGTCTTGCCCAGGAACGGCAATTCTGGGTCGTAAATGGAGGATGACCTGCATTGGGCTGCCGGAGATGCCATCCCATAATCTTGTCACATGACGGCATTCTGAAACTGGATAAAAAGTATTCCTTGCAATCCATATGCGCTCTTTTCTTTGCTTCCAATCTGAGTTTTCTCAAACTTTAAGGCCTGTGGACTTCAACTCCCAGAATTCCCCAGCTAGGCCCCTTCCCCTTCTCTGGATGGACAGCCTTGCCCCCTGTTGTGCAATTTGGGGTTGCAAATCTGGTTTTCAGTCGTCTCGGTGCCATTTTGTCAGGGTAAGGATTTTAAGGCTAACCAGCTGATGTAATGTAATATAAGGTGGAGGATGCAATAATAGGAATGACTCAGCAAGGTCTGTGTCTCTTGAAGAGCAAGCAGGGTCTGTATCCCTTTAAGAGCCTGAGTATAAAAGGGAAGGCTTTTGCTGGAGTCCCTCTCTCTCTCTCTCTCTATCTATCTATCTCTCTCCTCTCTCTCTCGTCCATTTCCTGCTGTAACGTGCTGGCTGGGGAATTCTGGGAGTTGAAGTCCACCCATCTGAAACGCTGTTCTAAAAACTTGGTTTTCTGTTCTTCTCCAGTCTGTGGGAAACCCAGATTTTCCCGAAGTTCCCTGGCCCGCATCGTCCGGGGACGATATGCTCAAAGAGGAATTTCCCCGTGGATCGCCATGCTCCAAAGGAATGGACGTCCCTTCTGCGGAGGATCACTCATAGGTAAGAGATGTTCTGATTATATTGGGGAGTTGGGGAAAAGCTGACTCACCATGCTGGCTGGGGAATTCTGGGAAATGAAGTCCACCTATCTGCAACATTGGTATCATGTGTGAATTGGACTTCAGTGCTGGCACCCACCAGCCTGTTCAGGTCTTTTACAATTCAACATCCTGGGTCAAAAGGGTTCGGTAGCCAGGAGAGCTGTGTTGTGTGGTGTCCCACAACCTGGGCAAGAGATACCCCATGGGGCATTTGGATATGCCTCCCGTCCTTCCGTGGTACACACATGCAGCTGGAACATGGCAGCATCTAGTGGCTGTGCTTGCAAAAATGAACACAGGTGATCCTCAAGTGACATCCGTTCGTTTAGTAACTTTTCGAAGTTACAACACTGGAAAAAACTTATGACCGTGTTTCACACTTACGAACTTTATAGCATCTCCACGGTCATGTGATCAAAATTCAGATGCTTGGCAACTGGCTTGTACTTAGGACGGTTGCAGCGTCCCCCAGGGTCACGTGATCAACTTTGGCGACCTTGTGACAAATCCACGGGGAAAGCCAGATTCCATTAACAGCCGTGTTGACATCTGCAGTGGTCATAAAATGGGGCAAATCTCACTTAACAAATGTCTCGCTTAGCAAACGGAAAAATTGGGCTCTGTTGCAGACGTAAGTCTGAGGACTACTCGTACTGGAGATCTGGATAGGAGAAATGTGTCAGAGCATGCACAGTCTTATTGCACTGATGTAATCCTGGAGTAAATACAGTAAACAGTGGTCTATATTAAGTGATGATTTATACTACACTATCTACAATATTCCACATCAGGAACAATATACACACATGTGGTAATACAGCAGGATCCAACAAACAGCAGTTGCAGCAGGAAACGGACGAGAGAGAGAGAGAGAAAGATACTCCAGCAAAAGCCTTCCCTTTTATACTCAGGTTCTTAAAGGGATACAGACCCTGCTTGCTCTTCAAGAGACACAGACCCTGCTGAGTCATTCCTATCATTGCATCCTCCACCTTATATTACATTATATCAGCTGATTAGCCTTTAAATCATTACCCTGACAAAACGGCACCCAGACGTTTGAAAACCAGATTTGCAACCCCACGTTTCATGGCAGGGGGGCAAGGCCGCCCACCCAGAGAAGCGGAAGGGGGATCCCGATGTTGTATTTTGTCTTTTCTAGGAAACCGGTGGATTGTGACGGCTGCCCACTGCCTCCATGAGGAATTGGACCCAGAAAACCCGGTTTTCCGACATACGGATGTGATCAGCCCGTCTTCCTTCACCGTTATCTTGGGTAAGCGATAGCTGCGAAACAAACTGAGTTTGCCACCCAGTGGGGGAGAAAGGCTTTTACAGGTCAACCTCAACTAACAAACATTCACTGAGTGACTGTTCAGTGGCACTGAAGGAAGTCACTTACAACCCGTCCTCGCAGATATGACCGTCTCAGCATCCTTAGTATCACGTGATCATAATTTAGGCACTTGGCATCTGTCGCATATGTCTGATGTTTGCAGTGTCCTGGGGTCACGTGATC